ACTTCAATAACTGTCAAAGATATAATACGATCAAATTAATACGATGTACTTCAGAATCTTCATGAAATAAACTTTGAATACGCCTTCCAATCATTTGTATTTCTGGAACACGAATCCTAATTAATGTAGGTTTCTTCTTTAACTATTTCTCTAGGCTAACAATGGCTGATACAAAAACTGGTCAATACAGTCACATAATGGATGGTTTGCGCTTTCCCAACGGAATCGAAATTTCTAGTGACGGAAAATCCATATTACTCGTTGAAACAATGAAACTTCAAATTTTACGAATTCCATTGGACGGAGGTGAAGTGACCGTGTTCAGTGATGGGCTACCTGGTTTTCCGGATAATATCAAAGCCAGTCCAAGTGGTGGATATTGGGTCCCTGTATCACCTCTTCGTGACGAGCCTCTATCTGAGCTTCTACTCAATTATCTACCAGCTTATCCTTGTATTCGTCAGTTGGCTTCCAGTGTACGGTTAATAATATTCCTGCATTTTTTATAATCAATATTCTCCATCTTATTGTCACTCCATTTTTGAATTTTTTGGCAGTCGAGTAGTAAACCTAGAACAGTGTATGTAGACATTTTCAAATTCAACCAACTAATGACATGGCAGTGCAATCACATAATGGCATGGTTGACCTCCACCAGTCTTGAATTCCCAATGAAACCTACAGAACTCATTTCAGAGAAAATGAATAGGGATCAAACGATTCTATATCGGTGCCTTAGCAGGGGCAAACGCTGAGGGTTTCCACACTGCAACGGAACAACTGAGAAATGTTCCCTGGTTTTCACTGGTACCTTAACTAATGTGAATCTGTAGCTGAAGCTAATTACGAAGTAAAATAAACTTCACAATACCTTCAAAATGAATTATGATAGAGGTAGATCAGAGAATCTAGTGACACATATTAAACTTCTATGCAATTTCCCACCAAACTAAGTAAGAATTCAGTATTTCATTATTTTTTTCTATCTTTGCAACAGATTATCTCCATGCTTCCATTCACACTAATACCGAAAGGAAAATCGTCAATGTTAATTCGTTTAGATGAAAATGGACAGATAATTGAAATTTGGAAAGATTTTCAAAATGAATTACCAAATGCTTGTGAAGTACTAGAACATGATGATACTTTATACACTGGAAGCTTTTATCTACCTTACATTGGTCGTTTAAGAAGATTGTCAAATTAATTTTTATAAAATTCGAAAATCTTTAGTTCCAGAAGATGAATACTGTGTAATTTGATGTTGTTGTTGTTGTTGTTGTCGTTGTTATTCATTCAGCACATTGATGATCAATACTTTCCATGTTTTGATTTGACTTATCTTTAAGACATTCATCAATATCTTGCTTTCTTATGTTTTTTCGTTGTTGTTGTTGTCGTCATTGTTGGTCGTTTGACTTAGCTATTTCTCAATATTTAATTATTCTGTACTAATTGTGTAATGTGTGAATTATTTAATCAATAATAAATGACACAATGCCATTTACATTTATTGAATCAATCAGGTCATCTTTAATTATCTGTCTATAAATCAGTTAGCTAAAGTCGTGAATTGATATCATTATGCTTGTTAACTTGCTTATGTTACGTAATACTTGTGGTTATTACAAAACGTTGATAAAAAGAAAATGATACAGATGTAGATTTGCTTTCTTTTTTCCAGCAGCGATCCGATCATACCAATTAATACCTAAACTAAAACTTATTTCATTTACTAAAATAGTTGTAAAATAATTATTCCAGGTACACCAATGTCAGATAATTATTTCCTTAGAAGGAAAATGAAGTAAATAATTTATTATCTAAGTGGTATGCAAAGTGCTGCAACCAGTTACTCAGCTGATTACTCTAGCATTGATATATAAATATGGTGCAGCTTAAGTTTCTTTTAAATCCGTATACTCTGGTTTAATTCCAATTTACATCTTCATTTTATTGGATTTCTAATAGTGAATATTTCTTTGATACTGATAAGAGGAAAGAGAGCTCATCAAAGAGACTGAATGACAGTTACAACTTATTATGAAATCACTGAAGTTAGATAGACCATATTGAATTTGTGGATTTGCGTTTGAATAATTTACTCTACACAAAGTTTTAGGTGTTTTCTTTGGAAGTGAGAATATTGAATTTTTCATATAAATTCAATGTGCAACAATTTAAAATGTTAAAGAACCATTGTCTGTGTTCATTATATAGAGTAAGTAGTACGTTTTAGCAGTTGAATTCACATCAACAACATTGTTGTACATGCTAATAAGGAATAATAAGAGAAAATACTTTTACATTAATAAAACTTTTATGTAATTGGTTTAGCTACAAAATTCTTAATCGATCTACTGGAGTGGATTCATCAACCAGAATCTGGAGTTATGTCTCTGGCTCGAGTATACCATCTCATTTACAAAATAATGATGTGGACTTGACCAATAATCGGGCTAAACTGGCACAGTTAAGCTTGAGAGGTGACGGAATAATCTAACACCTACTGGTTCACCAAGAAGAAGCCCGAAGAACACACTACGTCGCGAATCGGATGCCGAAATGAAAAGGATGAATAGCATTTGGAAGGAACTGGAAGGGATTGCCCAGAACAGGGTTGAATGAAGAGTGCTGGTGGGCGGTCTATGCTCCTCCACGAGGGGTGACAGGCGTAAGTAATTATGTAAGTACTGGTCCGACAAACTCACGGCTTTCTTGTATCCCGATACTGAACCCAGTAAGAGAACAAAGCAGACGAGCTTCTATATTTCAAAGAATCATGGGTACTATATTGGAATCATCAGATCACAACACGCCCGAGGAATAAAATCCTACTCCACATATATTATCAAGCTGTAAGTGACAGAATGTGGCATAAGATGAATAATCAACCAACAACAATTAAAACATGGTGGGACATATATGAACAGTCAATGAGTCCAACCGAAGCTTATGATAAAGGAAATGCACATATATAATAATCCATTCATTTAATGATTATGCAACATATATATAGTGTAAAATAGTCCCAAAAGTTACCATTTCCCCAATATTTATTTTGTCACAACAATATTATTCACAACCTATTCAGTTTTCTGTTGTTTGACTTTTTCAACACATGGTTATGATTTATATTCAGATTTTCCTTATTGCAATGAACTTCAGTGTTTTTTTCAACCTATGATACACTACTCATTCCCTTTTTAAGTAAACATAAACAAATTTTACTGTTGAAGCTACCTTCGATAACATTTGTCATAATGAGTGGTATTACAAATTAAAGTAGTTGTGTTTTAATCTCAGATCTAGGAAACAATGCAGTAGCATGGACAAACTCAGTAGGTATTCAGCAGGACTGAACTAACTAAGGGTACGTAATCAAGTATTTTGTTAACACACTGTGTACATATTTGTTTGAGTTAGTTAACATAGGCTCATTATTCTGTCAATCATTCGTCATTCACATTTTTCATATCACTTGATTTATGGAATCATTAGTAATGACGAAAACTTGTTGTTCACGTTTGACCTTGACTTTTCCATTAAAATTTTTATTCTGCTTCATGATGCTGATTGTCGCCCACAAACATATGACTGTTTATACAGTCTAGTTCTAATATAATCAGCTGCTATATTGACAGATCATTCATACACTTACTTACTTACTTACTTTCCTTCTTATTAATTAATTAATTAATTGATTAATTAATTATTTACTTGGCCCTCGATGAGGACCATAGTCCATACATCAACCTTCTCCATCCAACACTGTCATGGATACTCCTTTCCAGTACTTTCCAGTTGATATTCATCCTTTTCACGTTTGCTTCCAATTCGCGACGTAGTGTGTTCTTCGGCCATCTTCTTTTCCGTTTCCCCCTTAGGATTCCGAGTGATGCAGTTTGGTGATTTCCGTAATGCGTGTCCTATGCACTTCCAACGTCTTTTCCTAATTTCCTCTTCACATGGAGTCTGGTTTGTTCTCTCCCACAATAAGCTGTCGCTGATTATATCCGTCCAGCGGATATCCTGTGTAGACAACTGCTTATAAATACTTGTACCTTTTTGATGATGTTTGTAGTAGTTCTCCACGTTTCAGCTCCGCACAGTAGAACTGTCTTTACGTTCGTATTACAGACCGTGACTTTGATGTTGGCATGCAGACAGTTGTATTGAGTTCCATATGTTGTTCAACTGTAGGAATGCTGCTCTTGCTTTGCCAATCCTCACCTTTACATCTGCATCGGATCCTCCTTGTTCATCGATGATGCTTCCCAGTTAAGTGAAAGACTTCACAGCTTCCAGAGTTTCTCCATCAAGTGTGATTGGGTTTGTGTTCTCCGTGTTTTATTTGAGGATCGTGCTATTTCCTTTATGTCACATAAATTTACAGATTACATCTATTTCTAAATCAATGAGTTATATTTGATATATTACTCTGAATTAAGTGGCGGTTTTGGAATCACGAATTACATGTTAGAATTGTGAATCTGGTAGTGGCCAAATAAAACAAACTACATCTAACAAATAAAGCAGTATCTAGTTTTTTATTTGCTCACTTATAGTCTTGTATATTATGAACTGACTCTACACTTCAGTCAACAAATTAGTCTAAAATGGTGTTTTTATTAGTGATCGTTAACATATTCTGCTCGTTCACTCTTCTATCTAGCCGATTAAATAACGTATGGCAGCAAAGTCGTTAGATTCCATACCAATATGTTTTACGCAGGAACAGTTCTGTCTGTTCAAACTAATGTTGAAATAACTTTGACCATGACTAAAACTACTAAATTTTGATAGCAACCGCAGAAAACTTGTAGAAGAGAGAATAGACAGACTGGAAAGTATAAAGTTTATCAATTATTTGTAATAATATATGACAGTTTCAGCAGCTAAGTTTGATACACTTGAAATATGGATGAGGAGAATTCAATAATAATAATGATGTTCATTAACATGTTGAATAAACCGACAATTCAGTTGAAGAGAATTGTATGGAACACAGTGTAGATTGCTCATCTCCTACTACTACTACTACTACTACTACTACTACTACTACTACTACTACTACTACTACTACTACTACTACTACTACTACTACTACTACTACTACTACTACTACTACTACTACTACTACTACTACTACTACTACTACTACTACTACTACTACTACTACTACTACTACTACTACTACTACTACTACTACTACTACTACTACTACTACTACTACTACTACTACTACTACTACTACTACTACTACTACTACTACTACTACTACTACTACTACTACTACTACTACTACTACTACTACTACTACTACTACTACTACTACTACTACTACTACTACTACTACTACTACTACTACTACTACTACTACTACTACTACTACTACTACTACTACTACTACTACTACTACTACTACTACTACTACTACTACTACTACTACTACTACTACTACTACTACTACTACTACTACTACTACTACTACTACTACTACTACTACTACTACTACTACTACTACTACTACTACTACTACTACTACTACTACTACTACTACTACTACTACTACTACTACTACTACTACTACTACTACTACTACTACTACTACTACTACTACTACTACTACTACTACTACTACTACTACTACTACTACTACTACTACTACTACTACTACTACTACTACTACTACTACTACTACTACTACTACTACTACTACTACTACTACTACTACTACTACTACTACTACTACTACTACTACTACTACTACTACTACTACTACTACTACTACTACTACTACTACTACTACTACTACTACTACTACTACTACTACTACTACTACTACTACTACTACTACTACTACTACTACTACTACTACTACTACTACTACTACTACTACTACTACTACTACTACTACTACTACTACTACTACTACTACTACTACTACTACTACTACTACTACTACTACTACTACTACTACTACTACTACTACTACTACTACTACTACTACTACTACTACTACTACTACTACTACTACTACTACTACTACTACTACTACTACTACTACTACTACTACTACTACTACTACTACTACTACTACTACTACTACTACTACTACTACTACTACTACTACTACTACTACTACTACTACTACTACTACTACTACTACTACTACTACTACTACTACTACTACTACTACTACTACTACTACTACTACTACTACTACTACTACTACTACTACTACTACTACTACTACTACTACTACTACTACTACTACTACTACTACTACTACTACTACTACTACTACTACTACTACTACTACTACTACTACTACTACTACTACTACTACTACTACTACTACTACTACTACTACTACTACTACTACTACTACTACTACTACTACTACTACTACTACTACTACTACTACTACTACTACTACTACTACTACTACTACTACTACTACTACTACTACTACTACTACTACTACTACTACTACTACTACTACTACTACTACTACTACTACTACTACTACTACTACTACTACTACTACTACTACTACTACTACTACTACTACTACTACTACTACTACTACTACTACTACTACTACTACTACTACTACTACTACTACTACTACTACTACTACTACTACTACTACTACTACTACTACTACTACTACTACTACTACTACTACTACTACTACTACTACTACTACTACTACTACTACTACTACTACTACTACTACTACTACTACTACTACTACTACTACTACTACTACTACTACTACTACTACTACTACTACTACTACTACTACTACTACTACTACTACTACTACTACTACTACTACTACTACTACTACTACTACTACTACTACTACTACTACTACTACTACTACTACTACTACTACTACTACTACTACTACTACTACTACTACTACTACTACTACTACTACTACTACTACTACTACTACTACTACTACTACTACTACTACTACTACTACTACTACTACTACTACTACTACTACTACTACTACTTCTACTACTACTACTAGTTCAGAGTACTTTGCTCAGTTCTTATTTGTTTGTGTATATGTTAATCTATGTTGTATATGTAGACATTTATTTCTTGATTTTTCGTATGTAGTCATGCTGATTGAAATTAGTTTATACAGAATGAATATAAACTACCTTCAAGATGCATTTTCTGGAGTTCTAGTGATAATCCATGACCAATGGAGTCAAACAGTGTAAGTTAGAGACAGGTATCTACCTCAGAAAATGGATGGATGTTTTAGTAAATCATAAATCGATTGGAGTTAGACATTAACATCGTTGGATACCGACCGGCTCAATGGTCTAAAAATTAAGAGTTTGCGCGCAAGACTGAATGTTTTGCATTAGAATCCAACGTGTGGCATCATGCTGAGGATTCTCACACTGTGACGAAACAACCGTCCAGTGCTTTTAGAGTTTCATTGATGTTCTAGCTTCAATCGACTCATGTATTCAACCATTAAAATTAATACATTCTCTACAAACCTCATTGTAATTAATATTAGACGTATGTTTTTGTGAATTATGAAATGTCATTATGACAACATATGGTTTAAACTATCGAAACATATAATAAATATATTAATGGATAAGCTTTTCAGCTGTTATTGTAATATGAAAAATTGTATGGATTAATCCCTAATAATTTAGTAATTCTATGGAAATTTAGACAATAAAGCTACTTATAAGTGCACTCTATGGTCAGTCATATGGAACCAATATCCTAGAAGTTACGTTTAAAACATTTAACCCATTCCATAACTTAAGAAGTCAGAAGAAAAACATAATATTTTATTGGAAATTAGTGCTTTTATGATTTGAATTTGTAAATCAACTCAGTTTTTGTTCGATAGATAATAATAATAATAATAATAGCAATAAAAAATGAAATAATATATTTGTAATATCCCAATGAGTAGAAAAATCAGATTTTCTGACGTTTCGTGTGACTCAGTGTAAGCCAGTTCTCCAAAGAATAAATAAAGACAGTCCAAACCATAACTCTACTGTGGTACAGACACTGAAATAACAGTAACTAATCAAAGAGATAATCATCTTTTTTCATTGCCAAACTATACAAACCGATCATTTGGTTTCTTGCAGACAATGCTCATATCTAAAAATCAGAAGATTGCCTATTGGACTTTTTTTAATTCACAGCCAAACAAAATACAAATGTGCGACTCTATAACATCTTTGTTATGAAAAAGAATATTACAAAGGTCATCGGTTAAAATAAAACTGAAAATCTGTTCATTAAAGACATCATGTGAGTGATCATAAATATGCAGTTCCTTGGAACGGTCAACACTTAAGTTATCACATTCTTGTCCATAGATTGATAGGGAAATCTTAAAGCTGCTACTGAAAAGGAGGTTTTTATAGTGCTTGTTCTTAACAACAGATCATGAATAAATTAAGTGCAAGTCACAAAAATTCAGGGCTACCTGTAAAAAGTCCATTGTTAAATACTTATGAAAGACAGTTTGCACACATTTGCCGTACATACCCAAAACAATCGTTTTCACACATTTACTACACAATAAATATAGCGATAGAATCAGTCAGCCAGTCAGTCAGCTACAACGTAGGACCAGGCACATTTATGCATCGGTTCAAGTTGCCATACCTCATTAACACAACAAGATGAACACCGGATTCATAAAAGTAGTTAATTCAGAGGTGGTAATATATAAAAGAAAGATTTCAATAAATGTATAGTACAGGAAGAAATAATTAGTTCGTAGAAAGAATGATATGAAGCAATTTTAATCTCTTAGTTTAAGGGAAGATAGAGAGTGTATACACCGACACCATTATGATCGATTCTCAGCCATGTCACCAAGAATCTCCAATCATTGGTTACGACAGTCGCGCGGACCCCAACCAAGTAGTCTGCATCTACCAACATGGCTCAGACTAGAAGTTAGTGACTTCAAGCACTTATACCACGAACTGCAGCATACTCGTCCCTTAATCGATAGACCGATATCTCGCCTTCGCCATAGGTGATATAAGCTGGCAAAAGCCAAACGAGCTTTTCGAATCCGTGCTGAGATTTCGTCAGACACCAACCCATTAGGGCTGATCAGACTTCCAAGATAAGTGAAGTTGTCAACGCGTTGGACTACTTCACTACTTCACTTCCCCTAAAGATTGCTCTATATTGGCTGTATGTCCTGTTTGAACTAAATGGTCTAAGATAGAGCTGTTAACAGTTTTGACAACACCTTTGCTTAACCACACGGGTAGGTGCTCACGAGCCCGAATGTACAATTTCCTAGAACAACCCTGAAAGAAAATAGATATCCAGAGAAAATTATAAATAAAAACTTAGCCAATAAAAGACAGCGTAGAGAATGCCCAACGGTAAATAAAAAGCCTCTATATATACGCTTACAATTCGGAGGCGATGCACCGAGTCAACTGTTAAGACTTAAGTTAAGTAGATCAATTTAAAGAACTTTTAACGCAGCTAAACTACAACTAGTATTCTCCACGCGACCAATAATCACTCCGAGGTTGAAAGATAAATTACCTAGACTAGCCACCTTCTTCTGTATCTATCAATTCAACTGCTCCTGTGGAGCAAGTTATATTGGCAGGTGTTCTAGGAATTTGTACATTCGGGCTCGTGAGCGCCTACCCGTGTGGTTAAGCAAAGGTGTTGTCAAAACTGTTAGCAGCTAATAATCAATCTTATAATGTGGTGACGTAATCTGATTAATGTTCATTTTATGTCCCAAACTTATTATTATTATTACTGTTATTATTATTATTGTCTTTACACTTGATAACCCCTTTTTGAGGAATTTATTCAATATCTACCCCTGAATCTACTATATTTGACATAATTATTTTACATATTACGCAATTTCCGATTTGTAATCACAATATTCTCTCTCTCTTACCCAATGTTGACCATATTTATTCTGATAATTTATCTCACAATTTCATTTCGCTTATAAACTTATTCAAGTTAACGCTTCATAATAGTCAGGTTGGACGAAAACATCAGTTGACTGCGGTCGAGTGGGAACAGGCTTGACTGAATGCATTGCGTTTGTAAGCCTGATCATGTAGAAGGTTAGATCCATGTTCAGTAAACAAGATGAAGGATCCACGAATTCTCCTGGAAGTGTCGTTCCATAAACCACGTGAGCTGTATTGTATCCAATGTCAGCTTTCACTGCATTGCAAATATCTAGTAAGAGGAGTGGGAGAGCTTCGGTCCACTGTGAAAAGTTTGCAGCTGATAGTGAAGCTTTCAGTTGTCGGTGAAAGCGTTCTACCAACCCGTTTGCTTGTGGATGGTAGGCAATCGTTCGGAACTGAGTGATTCCTAGTAGTGTGGCCAGACAACGGAAAAGTTCAGGTTCGAGATAGCATCCGCCGTTTGTTGTGATAGTTGAAAGGTATTCGAAGTTTGCTACCCATAGTTCGACGAAGGCGCGGGTCACTGTTTCAGCAATGATGTCCTTAATAGGTACTGCTTCTGGCCATCGAGTGAAACGGTCTACGCAGGTTAAAAGATAAGAGTATCCATTTTATTCTTGTAAAGGTCCTACCAAATCCAGATGAATATGGTCAAACGAGCGTCGGGAGTTTCGAAAGAGCCTTAGAGACATTTGTTGTGTCTAATAACCTCAGAATTTTGGCAGCTCACACAAGAGCGTACCCACTCCCTCACGTCTTTATCCATACCCGGCCAGCAAAACCTTTCTGCTATAAGCTTGATGGTTGCACGAACATCTGGATGAGAAAATTTGTGCAACGTATTGAAGACGTTGCGTCGATAATGTTTCGGCACGATTGGACGATCCCTGCCTGTAGATATGTCAAACAGTAAGTTTTCCTTACCTGTTTTACATCCGTTTAACGCACGGTTTAAGGGTTGTTCAGAGTAACACGTGCCGAAGATCGGTGTCTTCTTTTTGAAGCTGGGCGAATTTAAAAAGGCCGATTCCTTGGAAACTGTTCAAGAAAGTTATGAGGGACAACGCATCTGCAACTACATTGTTCGCTCTAGAACTGTATTGTATATCTAAAGTAAACTACGAAATATAGTCCAGTTATCCAGAACCTTGAGGTGAGTACCTGTCTGAAGACGAGCTTAAAGAGAAGGTAAGAGGTTCGTGATAGGTGAGAAGAGCGAATCCTCGGCCTTCGATAGAGTGTTGAAAATGCCCTACAGTACAATACATAGCTTGGAGTTCCCTACCGAATGTTCTATACCTCGATTCAGTGTCTAGCAACCGTCTTGAGAAGAATGCCAAAGGTTGCCGGGAGTGTTTAGTTCGTTGTTGCAAGACTTCTTTGATTGTTGAATCGGATGTATCTACTGAGACACTAATGTGCGCTTAAGTGTCCTGATGTGCGAGCATGATTGATATCTGTTAGGGTTGAAGCTATCACGAGTTCACTTAATCTGCGAACGAGAAACAAGACTCGGTGACCAGAGACAAGTAAGCTAGCTTTTAACGAGTCCCACCCCCGCTAACTAGAGGGAGAAGTCCAAGCTTGGAATGGGGAAGTATATTCTGCAAACAGCCAAAAACGAGCGATAACAACAAGCACAATTCAAAATGTATATATACAGTGCAAAACCGTCCTTGGGAAGAGTTACCAAATAGCATACAAAAAAACTCAACGGACCAATAGCATTTAAGATATTTCCCGGTAGGAAATACGACATGAAGGTGACAATAGCGCCTTTGGCGCGACAAAAAAGAAATTCAAATTTTCTAAGTAAGTAGGTCGTAGACAAAAAGTAAGAATAAATTCCAAGTGGTCCATCTGGAGACCAGTACTTGGTGGAGTACCCCAAGGTTCCGTCCTACGTCCTTTACTTTTTATAATGAACGTTAATGATCTTACAAGTATAGTACAGTCTCCAATGTTATTATACGCTGACGACGTAAAAATTTGGCGAGTAATAACTGGAGCAACAGACGCATGTGCTCTTCAGGTAGACTTAAATAATATGATTAACCGGTCTAAAGAGTGGCTGATACCTATCAACGCGGCAAAGTATGTCTACATGCACTTGGGGGATTCAAAGGTTAATAGGTACAACATAAGGGAAATGCCATTGCCCGCAGTCCGGTCTCATAAGGGTCTAGGGGTGACAGTGAGTAATGATCTTAAGACGACGGCCCATTGCCGGGAGGTCGCAGCCAAGGGGTTTCGAACCCTCTGGGCTTTAAAACGGACATTCACTAAGTTAGATGCTACTATGTTCACCACATTATACACATCATCAGTGAGAACTAAGCTTGAGAACTGCGTTCAGGCTGAAAGCCCCTGCTTAAAAAGTGACTCGGACATACTGGAAAAAGTACAGAGGGCAGCTAACCGTGTAATTCCGGAACTCCCGGGGTTTATCGTACAGAGAGCAGCTTGAAAAACTGGACTTCTCTAATCTGTCCTATCGCAGACTAATGGGAGATCTAATTTTGATGTGCAGAATACTGAGAAATGATTTTGAACCTAACTTATTTTCTCTTTTACTTCCCACTACATCGGGACATCTCAGAGGACAGCAGGTGAGTAGGAAAGCCAAATACCCGTGGCATACAGGTTTTCACACCGAGTCATCAATACTTGGAACCTGCTGCCCGAAGCAGTGTTGTCCGCACCTTCAATTGACTCTTTCAAGAGAAGACTGGACACTCACAGAAGCATACTAGAAGAGGAATAACATAGGCCGTAGGCTTTCTGTCCTTACTACACAAATCTGAATCTGAAAATTACAAAATTAGGCTCCTTCACAAGTGAGTTCTGGGGATCTAACGTCCCCAACACCTTCGCTAAAAGCTCCTTAACTGTCAAGAATGCATTTCGCGCGGTGTCGTCCATACTGATGGGTTTCGCATTTTCATGACGTTGGTCGGTTAGTGGTTACATAAGGGATGCGCATTTCAGTATGAACGGTCCATAGAAAATTACTAGGCCGTTAAATTTCGTAACTGCCTATTAGTGCTCAGTTTTGGGTAATCCAGAATATCCACCACTTTGCTTTTAAGAGGTCGGACGCCTTGCGCATCAATAGTGTGTCGTGGAAGACTAAGGAGTCGTTTCCGATTTGGTATTTCTGAATGTTTACAATAATGCCAGTTTTTCGTAGTCGTTCGAAAACAAGGTCCAGATACTACAGATGGGATTCTCTGACCAGACTTGCTGTCAAGCAGTCACCAACATGCACATGTTGGAAGTTGAGACCTCGACAAAGGTCATCTATGAACCTTTGGAATGTTTGGGCAGCATTCCTTAGGTCGAAAGGCGTGCGCAAAAATTCGTAGAGTTCGAAGGGAGTTATGATAGCGGTTTTTGGAATATCATCAATGGCCATAGGAATTTGGTTATTAGATTTAAACAAGTCGATTTTCGAAAAGACAACTGCACCTTTCAAGGTAGATGTTAAATCGAGAATGTGAGGCAACGATTAACGACCGGGAATGTTTTTTGCATTCAGTCGCCGATAGTCATCGTTGCTGTCCTTTTTAGGGACCATGTGCAACGGAGATACCCATGGGCTGTTTGACTGTCCTATGATACCTGAGTCTGTCATGTGATCCAATTCGTTTTTGGCCAAGGTTAGTATTTCGGGGGCCAGTCGACGTGTTTTGGAGAACATATGTGGTCCTGTAGTCGTGATGTGATGTGTAACGATGCTGGTTACACACGGCAATTTTAGTTGCGGTTATTATATCCCGGAATACTTATCGATTAGTGGTTGATAAAATGGGCTATCGTGTGCCTAAGTGTGAGGGGAGATAATCTGCAACCAGAAAAGGAAGTTACGAAAACAGATAAATTAGTGTTTTCGTCTACTAGCCTCCGTTTGCGTGTATGGATGATTGGATTGTGATGTTGTAGGAGGTTTATACCAAGGTTTGGTCTAGAAACATCTGCAGCAACAAACATCCAGTGAATGTGTTTGCGTAAATACACGCTATGGTAAACGTAACCTTTCTGTTTGCCACCTGTAGATTTGAAACCGATTCCTGAAGCCGGTCGTTAGAATTCTCTGGAAGGACGCTAACTTCTGTGCTAGTGTTGACGAAGTAGCGAACTTTCGTTATCATATTTGTGGCGCATAACAGTCGGCTATGTTTGCTGGCCACGGTTGCCGTTAACGTTTGCCGGCTGGGAAGTTTCCCGAATCGTTTTTCGTGTCGGTCAATTTTCAGTTAAGAAGATTGAAGGGTTTTCTGCAAATTCTGGAGGACTTTCCGTACTGGTTATGATACCAGCACCAGTCGGGGTTATCCAACTCTCGTGTTCTAGAGACAGATCGCTTACACGAAGTGCTTCCTCGCGAGGTATGTGACCGTTTACAGTCGTTACGAAATCTAAGACAACGTGCAAGTGTATGACGTAACTTTTTAATGTCATTCAGGGTCATTTGAGGCTTTTCTTCGACTGAAAAGACCTAGGCTTTCGAAGATTTGATGGTTTCTGAAATGCGATCGGCAGATGCAGTCAGCTCCTCCATGACGTTGTTTTGAAACGAGATCAGTACAGCTTGCACCTGTTGAGGAAGCTTAGAAACAAAAAAATATGAATAAGCCATCATCGAATGTTCTTTTGCCGATCACCTCTCTCACTCTTAGCAACATGTCTGACTCAGAACGTGTTGCAGGTCGATGTTATTAAGGAGTTGGTTCAACCTCTGTCAATCGGTTAGGTCTCCGCGTCTAAGGATAGATCTTTTCGTTATTTCGTAGTGTTCCTAAACATCACTAGTAAATATCACACCGGGCTCACCAATGAAGATGCCACAGGTATTCGGAGTTTGACAACGCTTTAACCAGTAATACCTAATATGAATCGTACCCACCAAGTGAAATCAAAAGACAGAAGCGAGGAGGTTTGAGGATATATTTGATACACTATCAATATATCGAGGATCATCTGACCTAATCTGGCTAGCAATTGCAGGAGATGTTGAGCACGGCGTTCCCACTCGTGATCTGGTGCGGATGCATGACCGAGAGCCTTCAGTTAGGTGAGTCCATTAAAACCGATGTGGACAGCATCCAATGTCGAAGACTTTTACCGCTACAATTTAGTCTTTAACAGTTCTATCCGACCCTATTTAGAGTATGGAAATATGGTCTCTCACCTCACTCATAGTATAAGGATACACTGGAATATATCGGAACGCAAATTCAGTTCGAGGACTCAAATTCCAAACTAATAAAGAACCTTTCAAATCATTGAATCTTTGCCTCTAATAGTGCAAGCGCCTCTGACGTGATCTTTTAATGACCTATATCATCCTAGACACTCCAGCGCACCCCGTCAAATACTTAAGCTCAGTCCCAGAGCAAACCATAGGGGTGACACCCAGAAATTAAAAACCCACCATCGAAGAATTGGCTGTATGCACACATTTCCCTCGTTAGGACCAGTCTGGAATTCATAGCCGGCAAAGATGGTCCTTGCGACTACCCAGAAGTCCTTCGAGAGGAAAAGACTTATCCATAAGAACCCAGGACAGTATTTTGTTATAATTTACTAATATTTCTATTATTACTGATAAACTCACCCGGGTTTCTACCTGAAGGCACCAGTGATTCACTGCTACTCGGTGACGATGCCCGTTAAGCGAAAGCTTCGTCTATTCCGTCTGCAACTAATCTACCTATATGTAAGGCGGCTTTTATGAATGGAATTGGTATCTCAAGGTCGCTCGAGTTTAATTAAAAAACAAAATGGATACAGCACTCTGAACTTCATACTCTCTAGATACAAAGACAGTTATTCTGTGTTAATATTTTGTAAGTATTTCTGTGAAAAAGTGGATTTTTGTTGATGGAGCCTTGATATACATGTTTGGACAGTTTTCACGCGTTGACAGCTAAATCAGGAAAGAGAAACCTTACCGTCCGTTTTTTAAATAGTGTCTTTCGAACACTCCCATGTCGGCCTTAAGAATACCTAGTCCTGGACTAAAGGGGAACATAGCATGCCCTAAGGTGTTGAAGGAGAACTTAGTTATACAAGCTATAATTAACTATTTAATGTGGTAATGTTAGGGTGAAGTAGGAAACTCGGTGTTTATTTTTGGGAAAATGTAGACTACTTGCGGAAAGTAAAGGTGTCAACCGGGACATTTTTCTGTATGGGGGACTTTTATTGGTAAGTTTGCAATTTTCCCTCGGGCTGAAGAAAAGAGCGACAATTTGTTAAATTTTCACATCGATTTTTAGGGGATCTACCCTTCACTACCACCAAGTTCGCCTCTTTTTCCCCTTTTTGTTTGCTTGGGATACATAGACACGGAGTATCTATATTTGTCGTATTTTCGTGTGCCTCATATTTCATCTTACTGTTACATGACTTGATTTATCTAATAACTGAAAATGGATTGTATATAAATGTCACTGATTCCCTTAACACAAGGAGAGCTTACGATCCACTGTCCTGTTTAGTTTGTAACAGTTTTAGTTGTTTCTTCATCCTCAAACTATACGCGCATTTGTTTGTAGGGAAAACATCTGTAAGGTACTTCTTGTTTCCTGAAAAATTCTTTAAGGTGTTTTACTTTATTGTTAAACAAATGATGGTTGTCTTCGACTTATTTTTTGAATTTTTAAACGTTTCTTTTAAATAATGCTATAATATGCATGCTTTCCCTTTAAGCCACTCACTTTTAGCATAAGTATTTACACACCTGTCAGTATGGCCTTTACAACAAGTATGATTCCAGAACAAGCTCAAGTTAAAGATCGCGCTGATGAACTTCTGTCTTTATGTAAAAAAGCAGTTGTATGTTTTATCATACATAAACATGATTTTTATAGGCTGACTGCAATAACGTGAAGCCAACACTTGATTCACTTGATAAATTACGTTGCAAACAACGTGGTTCTAAAGGTTAGTTAGTAAGTTATGGCACTAATACTGACAATTAAAGTTGTCAAAAGTCAGTTGAAGTCCTTATACACACAGGCAATTATTGAAGCTGAACATCAAAAAGCGTGAGTCAGTCAATGGACACTTCCTTATTTTTTTTACAGTACTCTTATGGCTGCTTTAGAAAAAGTATCGGAAATCCGTGCTCTAGAATATAAGTTGAGTAAGTCCAAACATAGCCAGCCAAGCTTCTTAGGAACACATGTTGGTCCGAAAAGTTTTCGCCGCGGTGTACTAATGTCAGTTTTGCAAGAAAATGCCAAATCGATACCACTTTGGATAGGTAAACCCGGTGAGAGGTTAGTTTGACGTAGTTAATTATTTCTACCCAGTCCCCCTGCTCTGTGTGGTGCAACAGGACCATCACCAAATATTCCCGCTGATCCTGGCGACCATGTTGCCGCCCTTGTTCCAGAACCAGACGTGGCAGCTGCTGCTTGTAATTTATCTGAAGGTTGTATATTGGCTGAAGTTGTTTCGTATAATCCTGATAAAGAAATCTATGAGGTAGAAGATGTTGATGCCGAAGAAGGGAAGATGTAAGTTACCTAAAAATTGGCTCCACGGTTATTGTTTTGTGCACCTTGTTTCTAAGTATAAAATGTCCTGAAATGTAGTTGCAAATTGTAAGCGAAGTAATAAGTGGTGTATGCTCTTGTCGTTATTTCTTGTGACAATAACTGATGCCAAAAGAATACATTGTCAAGGTGTTCCCACTTAATATCTCCATTAGAAATTGATGGAAAAACTAGCTTATTTGTATATAATGCTTCACAGCTTGTGTAAATCAGACTCGTCTACTTCGTGTTTTGTTAGTAATCGATTTGTTTTGTTTTATACCGTCACCGTAACCCGATTGATTATAACCGCTTGTAAAGTACATGTCAAAATGATAGACAATTATATTACTTCATAGACTTTTCATCTGTGTTTACATGTTTCTGTCGGTGTTATGTTCTTTAAGCTGGATAGCGTATTTGCGAAGCCTTCATTAATGGTACGGATACCACCAGCGCCTACTTGATGTTGTTCAGGACGTCAATGAAGGTTTCGCAACTTAACTGTCTAGTTCAGAGAACATTATACTACCAAAACGTCTACCCGAGCTGTAAATCTATCATTTCATTATCTGTATGTAATATGCTTCGACAAGATATGTTTCAATAGACGTATTGGGTCATCTAGTAAGTTGGTTACTAATTTAATGAATATGCTTTTTAGTGTAAATTTACTGGTGCGTTAGTGGGACAGAACTTCGAAGTTTATATTAAATCCAGTCAATAGTTCTGTTATATAACTCAGTTGATGCTACAGCATACTACTATTCATCATAATCCTAGTTTGATTCCTATCAAAGTCTAAGTTTTTCTAGCGTTAATCATCGTCCGTATACCAACCTCAACTACTAAAAATAATATTAACCACTACTTAATCATATGTGCTGAAAGATTAGGGATTTGTTTTGGGTTTTTAACTTAGTATATGTTGTTTTACCTAATAAGTCTTTGGTCATAGGTTTTTTCAAATCATTGCTCGCTTATTGTGGAACAACAGAGGGAGCAATGGTAAACTTAAGCGTAAGTTACTATGCAGATATGCCAATTCAGTTAGTGAGACTTAATCCCCAACTCAAGTGTCGGAGATTTATTTATTTGAACACAAATATTGGTACAAATGGGAACCGAGTGCATATGCGCCACACAAGTCACTTGATTTATTTGTGGGCTGTGATGCTGCCCGGATGCCCAGACCGAAGCAGGTGGCTTCTTAGGTAGCCACACCCGGAGCCTTCAACCCAAGGTCTGATCCACAAGGCAGTAGAGCAACGTAAGGAGGTGCAGTCCCATGATAGCCGGTGACCATTAGTTGGCTCATACGCCATTTGTTCCCTTAGGGTCCAGGAACCCATGTCCACCATTGGCTTGGAATCATGGTTTTCTAGCTCCTTAGGTGGATCTCCTATATGCACCAACCCGGTTAAAACACTAGACATTCTCTTTTCGTCTTCTCAATTTCGTAAACAACAGTAATGCCGCGAGAAGGCAGTGAGTAGGACTTCCATGGCAGCGGCTGTATACGCGTGTTCATGTGAGGGCGTTTCGTGAGGGAGAGCCGTACCAGGTCATTTGAGGGTAACATGAGCACCCATATCCCAAAACTCCCGGTCCCACGAAGTCCTGCACCCTGGCCTCCAAGCAGCTGGATTACAGGCTCACGCCACTACGCCCAGACATATTCTATGGATGACTGGGCACCGTCTATCCCGACGTTCACTGATGGTCAGAATAAGAATAGGTTGAAGAAATCTAGGTGATACAGACGCGTTCATTCTTTTTCTTTTGTATCTTTAACTGGAATATTATCCGTACATTTTCCATCCGTTGAACTTATCCCACTTTTTCGAAACGTGTTTTTAATGTTTGGTGTTCATCACCACCATTGATATCACTATTATTTGGACTTTCCTGATGTTTATATTGTTAATTAAATATCGCCTCAACAATGTGATGTCAACATGTGGGGTCACGTGAATTTGTCCTAGGGTCAATGTCGACTATGATTTTATCTATAAACGACAAATTTTTAGTGAGTAATCGTTGAGTTAATGAATCAACTGTACTAAGGTTTATAAATAAAAAGTATATTTGTAATATCCCGATGAATAGAAAAATTAGACTTTCTGACGTTTCGTGGCTTAGTGTAAGTCACTTCTTATATATATATATATATATATATATATATATATATATATATATATATACTTAAAAAAGCTTGGTATGGTCATCGTTATGTACATTCCTTGTTCTTTCAAAATGGATTATGAACCCTATAAAAAGCAAGATATATTGATTTATATTCCGTAATTTGCAGGCCAAAGTGAGTATTACAAAATGCAACTATTTCCTATGAAATTTTTACGTATAAATTTATCATTTTATAATTTAATTGCAAGTAAATAGTGTCCTGTTCACGTCACAAATATATTCAACATTTTTAGCTTGCTCATTACTATTATCATTAGTCACTACCATTGTGAGAAAATCATTTTATATGATTTTATCATTTCTATTCATTATATTATTACGTCATTCTTATTAAAATTGAAAAAGATTAATTTGCATGCTTCGTAACATTTTATCTGCACCTATTTAACCTAAGCTTGTACGACTACAATTCACTAACTGTATAAGGAACAAAACATAATTTAGTGTGACCATTTTTTTTGAATTTCATCTGTGTATTTGTATCACACATCTAAATTGGTTTCATAAAAACTTATTAAACATTGATTCCTCTCATCCATGTGTTATTATTCATTTAATATGCGTTTGTACTTTGTCGGGGAAAAAATTGCAACCATATTTCATTCATTCTCTAAACAGAACTAACACATTTTTAGGTGAGCTAACTCTTGTTTTCTTTCGCTTTCCATGCTTTTGTGTGTACATATATTTTATTTACACTAAAATTTAAGATTTCATTGAAAAAATTGTATATATTTTTTATGTCAAGGCGTTACTCTCTATCCCGTTCTAAACTTATACCTTTACCAAAATGGAAAGCTAATCCAATTACAAATCCTGAGGCAATATTCAATAAAGGTGCTGTAAGTCAGGCCCATTTTGTTTACTATCTAACCAATATTATTATATTTACTTAATTTCTAATCTTATACACACCATTAATTAGCATGTCGAGAGAAAACAGTAGGTTGTTTTCTCGGGTCCTTTGTGATTGAGCCGTCTTGATAAGGAAGCAGTTGTATGATCCATCTTTAATCAAGTTATTAATTAGTTCACTTATATTTCCACTAAGACCGGTGAATTTTTATATGATACTTAACACATCCACCAATGAACAATAAACAAGACTTTAACGCTTATTTGTCTTCGAGCTCCTTATAATCCAGTGGTCAGTCAGAAGATAAAGGTAAGATGCAAATCAGTTCTGTCATACCTAGTTCAATCATGACTCACAACTGATACAACATTATAGAGTAAAATCCTAATCATGGTGTTAGTTCGTTGGAGGTAGTCAGTAGGAGACTATGAACATGGGCTACATGCTTATTGGCACTCATCAAGTCGGGCATCAAATCTTTAGGAAAATGTTACTCTCTGTGGTATTGAAACCAGCTTGTCTTAACTTCACGACTCCGCCTGTAGCTCTTCTAGAGTTACTGCCGGTCCCAAGTCTGAGTAAAGGAGGAGGGTTGGGCACAATATTCCCACACAAACGCATACATATAGCTACATGTGTCTTACTGAATCGCACCACGGAGAATCAGATAGATCATATTTGTATTTGTCATTATTTCATTTTGTTTGGGGTATCTGTTGCTACCCTATCTTGTCAAGCTTTTTTTCTACAATGTTCAACTCAGCCTACTACCTTTTTTTAAGAGGTAGAGACAAAATTTTGGCCCGGTAGTTAGCCAGTATTACATCACTAACTAATGATATCATAGTCATACTCATTTTCGAAAAGGGAACACATGACGTGAATGAAAACGTGGTAAAAAACTACGAATTGTAAGATGAACCTGTGACGACGCCCCCAAATGCCCTGGTATGGCCGAGAGTGGGGAGAGTCCGCTGTCCCTCTTTAAATGCTCTCACATGACCACGCGTATATAGCCTCTGCTAGGGAAGTCCTACTCACTGCCTTCTCATGGCGGTGGGGGGGTGTTTATAAAATTGAGAGGACGAAAAGCGAATGTCCGGCGCTTTAACCGGGTTGGTGGACATGGAGAGTCCAACTAGGGGAGTTGGGAAACCCTGATTCCAAACCAATGGTGCACATGGGCTCCAGTATCCTGAGTGAAGAAATGGCGTATAAACCGATCGTTGGTCACCGGCTACCATGGGACTGCATCTCCTTACGTTGTTCCACTGCCTTGTGGATCAGACCTTCAGGTCGAAGGCTCCGGGTGTGGCTACCTAAGAAACCACCTGCTTCGGTTTGGGCGCCTGGGCAGTATCACAGCCCTCACACAAATCAAATAAGATTTGTGTGGCGCATATTGTATTTGGTGCCTCCTTGTACTAATATCTATGTGTTAAAATAAAATAAATAAATAATGTGATGATTATCGCGGTATAAGTATACTGCCAATTTCCTCGGGAGTATTAACTAAATAAGTCATACTCAGTGAGGAGTAGGTTGTGAATTTATGGATTATTTCTTCATTCATCGTCAAAGTGTTGAACACATGCAAATGTTTCGAAGTCGACTCGTTAGACAAACCTCTTCTCTAGGGTTGTCGGTTGAAAAGTGGTATATCTGAAGTTATAACTATATTATCTCCTTAGAACGTAAACAGTGTGGTTATATACTCTCCTATTTTCCCAAATAAGCAGGGTGTTTGATAACGTTGCTCACTGACCGCCAATAATATTTTGGAGGCAGCTTGAAAAGAGGTATATAGTGTCAATGTGCATCTCGAGATAAACTATTCAATTTTAAATAGAATAGGTGGAATGGGGCTAGCGTTGGGATTCAGGAGGAGCCTTTCGTCTTATTCGGGACTCATCAACTGGACGTGCTTGCATCGCATAGTTAATGTTCACTTTGGAACTCAAACCCAGTATCGTTTGGGATAACCCAAGTTATTCAAATTAAATTATCACTCAATTTTGAGTTTGCAAATCATATTTTAATCGCCACCAACAAATTGTTCAATTATCGAGTATTTAGTAAATAGTTAGTGTCTGCAAGTTTGGTGTGTATTCTGCGTCCCTAGGAAATTATGAATGATTTTTTAGTTGTGGTATACAATTATACAAAAGATAAACTTACCCTTAATATAAAGGCGATTTTTATTTTATATTCTCCGTTTATATCACACATATCAACTGACTCTGAACGACAGCTACTAGTTGTATTTTAATTTTTTTCTACAGACTGTTTTGGCTCTTTATCCACAAACAACATGTTTCTACAAAGCAATTGTGGATGAAATCCCAATTCATGTAAGTTATTCATCGTGTTATCTTAATACTTTCTACACTTTGAAAGGAATACATAATAATTAAAGAATAGAAACTCGGAAAATACTGGTCATCTACATTCAATTGATTTATTGGTTTGTTATATTATATTAGCAGTATTGTGTACATAAAATTGTCACTATTACGCATGAATCTCATCAGCATACATACTACTATTGGCACAAAATAAGTGATGAACACGTTTAATATAATTTTAGTTTTGTCTGGGATATGAAAGTAAGAGAACTCTTATGCTTTAATAAACGTTTTCACGTGAATAAATACAATTCATTTTGTGCAATTCATCATTTGATAATTACTCTCTATTTTCTTATTCTAGATACATGATGAGTATTCCCTTTATTTTGAAGATTCATCCTACCCTGAAGGTTATGCTCCAGCTATTAAAATACCTCAACGATATGTTATTCAATGTCCTGACAAAGAAGCAATGACTAGTAAACATTTAGACAGGTCAAAAAAACGTGGTAAAAAACTATGAATTGTAAGATGAACCTATTACTTATAATCTTAATCTCCTCCATCTTGCAGTTGTGTGTAGTTGTGTAAATATAACTAATTTCTTTGTTGTTTCTGCATCTAAATATGGTATAGTAGGTTTTGAAAACAATAGATTTCAAAGTAGTTTTTCGGTCATTCATTCAAACCAATGCTAAATTACTACAAGCAAATACGAAGTAGTACTGAGATATCTACTTATTGACTTACAATACTGTAATGTATCGTTTCGAAAGTTAGCTGCTAAAGATACTGAAACTAAGAACATTGCGAGTATTTATTTACTGGGTTTTTTTCAAAAACAAAGGATATTTGACCAAACAATTGTTTTCAATCACTTCGCCACTTTAAACATATAACATTGTCTAGTTCAGTAATACATGCCTTATTTTGGCTTTTGTAAAAATAACACAGTAATTATGGACTAATAACTGTAGAGTCTGATGACGAAGTTATTGAAAAAAATATTTTATTGGATTTTTATCGGTTTTCATTTATGTCACTCAAACATGATGCCAACAGAGTCTTCGTAGTTATCTGTTTAGTCAGAAAAATATGTGTGCGTAGAATTATAAAGAAATTGCTGAGAAAATTGAAAATCTAAACATTCATTTTGACTGTTTAAAACTTTTTAGTCTATTGAAGCAGAAGTATAATATACATACAAACCCTCATATATGATAGCTATATATCACTACTGGAAAAGTTAGGAGCGGCCCATTCAAACATGGGTTTAGTCCTTCAAGTCATCGATAAATATTCACTTGAAGGCGGTTTCACAGTAAGCAACTGAATAAGTTCGGGAATGTTGATTGCTTAGATCAGTAATATGAAAGTGCAATATACTCAATTCCGTAGGTAAAACACCACTAGATTATCAGCAAGTCTTGTACATCTATTACCTAACAATTAAGTAGGGTTGGTTTACGCCTCTATTTTTTCTATGTATGGTAGCTTGAGATATTTAAATATGTCCACTACTATACCCTCTACGACTTTGTTTCATTAACTGCCAGTGAAACGTCAGTCAGTCAATCAGCTACAATGTAGGACCAGGCACATTTATGCATCGGTCCAAGTTGCCATACCTCATTAACACAACAAGATGGACACCGGATTCATAAAAGTAGTTAATTCAGAGGTGGTAATATATAAAAGAAAGATTTCAATAAGGATATAGTACAGGAAGAAAGAATTAGTTCGTAGAAAGAATAATATCAAGTGATTTTAATCTCTTAGTTTAAGGGAAGACAGAAAGTGTATACACCGACGCCATTATGATCGATTCTCAGCCATGTTACCAAGAATCTCCAACCGTTGGTTACGACAGTCGCGCGGACCCCAACCAAGTAGTCTGCATCTACCAACATGGCTCAGACTAGAAGTTAGTGACTTCAAGCACTGATGACACGTTTTGGTTTGGCCGCCCCTAATTTTCTTCCAACCATCCCCAACACCGGTTAGCATCGCACGTCGTGGTAATCGGTGCTCGGGCATACGTAACACGTGGCCCAACCATCTCAGTCGATGAAGATTCACAACCTCATCGACTGATTTACCATCCTTCCCTAGTACCCTGCGTCTAACCTCACGATTACTTACCCGGTGATCCCAGCAGACGCCAGCAATATTTCTGAGGCATCTGTGGTCAAATACTAGTAGCTTACGAGTGTCTTCTACTCTTAATGGCCATGTTTTGCTGCCGTTAATTAAAACAGAACGGACTGCCGCGCAGTATACTCGTCCTTTAATTGATAGACGGATATCTCGCCTTCGCCATAGGTGACGTGAGTTGGCAAAAGCCAAACGAGCTTTTCGAATCCGTGCTGAGATTTCGTCAGACACCAACCCATTAGGGCTGATCAGACTTCCAAGATAAGTGAAGTTGTCAACGCGTTCGACTACTTCACTCCCTATCCTTAGTTCAGGTGTTGACACAGACCAGTCCTGAAGCAACAACTTGCGTTTAGAGGGAGAGAAGCGCATTCCAAACATCCTGGCATTGTCGCTTAATACTACCAAAAGACTCTGCATTTTATCAGTGTCTTCACCAAACAGGACTATGTCATCTGCATATCCTAAGTCGGTAAGTGGACCTCCTGGAAGGAGATCAATACTCGAGGATTCAGTCGACGACAGCGTTACTTCCATCAGTAGGTCTGTGATGAAGTTAAACGAAAATCGAGATAGTGGACAGACCTTACTGACACCACTTGAGGTTGCAAAAGCAGATGACAGTTCGCCATAAGATCTGACTCGACTAGTGTTGTTCGAGTAAAAGCGTTCACAAGGTTTGTGTACTTCTGAGGCACGCCTTTCAATAACAGACACTGCCACAGAATCTCGCGGTCTACCGAGTCAAATGCTGCTTCTAAGTCAAGAAAGGCCACCATTGTCGGACGCCGGTAAGTATGCCCATGTTCTAGCCTTTTGAACTTCAGCTAGAGTTGGGGAACCTACTTCAATGTTCTATTCACACTGTCTGGGAATGGAGGGTAGTTGTAGAGTAGCTGAAGACCAGCTGAACTGTTCTCTGAAATGTTCCGCCCATCGTTCTAAACGTCTGGACTGAGAGCAGATGAGAGTGTCGTCTTTTTCCGAAATAGTCTCACTTACACTTGACTTATTAATTCATTTCTTTTATTAGTCTGTAGAGCTGTCTTGTGTTCCCTATAGCCGCCTCCTTTTCTATGTCTTTTGCTTTCGTTGCCCACCGCTGCTCACGGTCGTTCCTTAGACTTTTGCTTAACCTAGATCTGATTTGTTTACGCTCTTTATCGTGTTCAGAGCCTGATGGGATGAGTTTACGAGAATCCATCAGTGCAATAGACCTTGAGGAAATCCATTGGTTCCTTGTAAGCCTGTGGTTTAAATCACTGATAGATGTCACTGTTGTTTCCAAACAACATCGGGGTCAGCCTCGTTTTCAGAACTACCTAAGTGTGACCTCAGTTGTTCCTGGAACCTACTTTTGGTTTTCTCGCTAATCAATTCAGTTCTGATAGGTCTTCATAGCGTCCAGTGAGGCGCAAGCAGATGCGTGCCCGTATTAGGGCGTGGTCGGAGTCCAAGCAGGTACTCCAGAATGAGCGACAATCTCCTACCGACCCTCTCCAACGATTACTGATGGCAATATGGTCCATTTGAGTCCATCGTTGGTTTGATGTAGGGGGTCGCCATGTTAGACGATGTCTCTCCTTATGCTTAAAGTTTGTGTTTGCTAAAAATAAACGATTGTCTGAGTACAGTTGCAGCAGACGATCACCATTATCTGTTCGTTGTGCCGGAATATTAAAATACCCACCTAAATGTCTTTCTGTTTGGTTTAAACTATCTATCTGATCATTAAAGTCACCCCCTACGAGTACTATGTCTGAACGTTTAGCTTTCTGAAGAAGTTCAGATAGCTTTCTGTAAAATTCATTTTTCGCTTCATCCGAGCTGCAGTCGGTGGGAGCGTAGGCAGAAACGACAAAAAGGCAACGACGTGTGTCCCTATCCTTCCGAGTTCTTACGGAGCCGTTTAACTGAACAGCATATAAACGATTGTTAACGGAGATCCACTCTAACAGTGCTTGTTCCGCCCTCATGCTTAGTGCTATGCCTACTCCTGCCAGTCCACGAGAGCTGGCCATCGCGTCACCAGATACACGGAGGGTGTATCTCTTTGGCTCTCCGTGTTGCCGAGGTGAGGTCAAGTGAATGACCACACTGGGATCCTGTATGCGTGTTTCAGAGACACAGCATACATCAATGGTACGAGATTCTAGTGTTTTAGTCAAGGACAGGGTGCGTATGTTGAAGACTCCATTGTGTAGTTTGTAGCGAGGTCTCAGTAGACCTGGGACAGTGTTTTGAGTACTAGACTCGTTGGAAATGGTGACACTTGAGGAGGAAGCCGAAAAAGGAAGTTTAGAGGTGAAAGTCGATGTAGGAGGAGTGATAGGAAGTGAAGACGGAGGTTGATTAGGAATACAGTGGTCTTGAGTGCTGCTAGAGGCATAAGGGTGGTTATCACTTCCCGGTTGTCCACACCGTGGAAGGGTTCTTCTGGAGGTACCTGGAAAGGAAATCGGATTAGAGGTGGTCCTAGTGACCTGGGAGCGTGACCGCAGTGCCCAAGGGACAACTGCTTGAGGTCGGTCACACACGACATTTTGTCGGTAATTTTTGTGTTAGCTCCGTACTTGTTGAGACCTTAGCGCCGAAGACGGTTATCCGTGGGATAAGGCGAGGTGTGGATTTTCAGGGTCGGTCTATTCTAACTCCATCCCTCTTTGTGGGAAGGCAGCATCGCTGTCATGCTGGTTGTCTGAAGGAAACACCTTACTGATGTCACACCTCTGTACAGTCAGCAGTACTACTTCGCCTTCGGACCTTGGGTTTGTTGCTTTTAGTCTTACCGCTCTTCAACCGACCTGTCTGACATGGTAGGACCTTGAGGAACGGTTGTTCCAGCCAGTATAGCTCGGTTGATTCATCACGATAGGCAAGCCCGACTACGACGTGAAGGTAGCAACAACGGTGGTGGAAACGTTCGTATAAGTTCAGAGATTTCGAAAATACACATTGACGCATGTCACATTAGAGATCAAGGATAAAATTAGAAGTTTACAGTTCGACGTATAGCCCAAATGTTTTCTTATCCATGAAACAATCTTCGGCATTCAAACATCTGTTTTCAAGGTTCTGGTGAAACCTATGCGTGATTAGTGCTAAGGTATTCATAAATTGCCCTACTTATTCATAGAATAATGCTAAAGCAAGAAATGATCACGAAGTCTTCAACTATTGAGATGCGAAGTGTAGGCAGTTAAATAAAGCAGATTAGGAGTGAATTTAATGATAGACAATGAGACGTCTAGTGTCACAGGACCACAACTATAAGTATCAAAGTTTGAGCATACCACTGTTATAACCCAGTGAAGATTAAGTTACAGGTGACTTCCGAGGACTGTTAATAGACTAATATTCTTATTGTATAATTATTCATTAATTATCATGTTAAGTCTAATGGTGTCCTTGGACTTTAAATAAACATTTCCTATTGGCCAATATTTATTTCACTTGTCAAATATTGTACAAATGTTGTTTTCTATTTTATGGTACGATGTTGTTTGTTTGATTAGTATATAAACAGAGTGTCTGAAAATACTCGATTCGGTTACAGAAGCTGGTATTGTGTTCTGGACTCAAGTGGAAGGGCTAGGAGGACATAGGACCAATCAGGACGCTAAACTGCTCATACCGGTTGAACGTCATTGGTTTGGCATAGTGCGAAATTGTATAAATCGTATTCTGACTGGTCGATAAGTCGCGCGATAGAAAAGCCAGACATCAAGGTCATAACAACCACTTTCATGCAAAGCTTATAATTACCATACTTCTTCATAATCACATTCTCGTTCCCCCAATATCCTCCACAAAACTATGCTATTAACTATTAGTTTATTGGGAGATAATATGAGGTTACATGAGTGGAGAAAATTAATCATAATTTTACTATGAAATTATCAAGTTTTAAAGTGTTAGAAATTTCTGAAATAGATCGTTTTAAATTTCCAACAGAGCGTTTTTGGTAACGGCTAGTTTCCGTTCTTAGCACACAAGGTTTCGATAGTTTTGATAGAGTATTGTCGAATGATTGATGAAATTGAAGAGTATTCGAATAATTTGGTATTCTATAGCTGTCAGCAATCTTGGCATGTTGACGCATAATTGACATTTGGTAAAAGCTTGATGGTCGTCGTTGATTGGCCATAATATTATTTAATGGGATTTTATTATTAATCATATCTGTCTCAGGAGAGAATAATAAAGTGCGATTGTATGCTTGTGAAGTAGATACAGTTTGTTTAGGTGAATTACTAGTACTTGGTTGATTCTGTTTCATGCGAAATGGATTTGCAGGTGTTAAAAAGTCCGTCTAAGAAAAAATTAGTTCAAACATGATACATCAGTTAAATAGTTTAGTGGGTTTGTTTAGAAAATCTTGGAAGGAATCGAATGATTTATCTGTGTTGTATCCGACGAAGATTAAATTATAGATAGCTCGCGAGAACTGTTTATAGACTGTTGTTACATGTATATTCTTATTGTATAACTTATGTAACTAGATTAAATATATCTATATTTCTCTTATCATGAGCTTCCATTTGACCTATTGGCTACTGTCATACGATCTACCATTTTTAAGTTATTCCCAATTTATTAATTACCGTCTCGCACAAGCACAGCCACTTTTTGGCTTGATCTTGTATAATTGTTACTTTTATTTTACGGTGTGGTTTGCTGGCATATAAGCTGCGTATATCTGAAATACATGATTCATGCAGTGGGAGCTGAGATTGTGTTTTGGACACAAAAGGACAGCGCTAGGCGAGGAGAACCAATAAAGACTCAGAGCTGCTCCTTCTGGTTAACACGTCATTGGTTTGGCACAGTGCCAAGGTCGTATAAGTGGATGTTTTAATTGGAGGTTTAATCACGTGATAATTAACAGGGCAAAAGTCATAACAATTTGAATGTTATAAAAGTTTGGTTATATCTACACAGGGGTTTTCCTATTACCTACACTTTTAAAGATATTTTAAAGTATGAAACAAGCAATCGGGAAAAGCAGTGATACGTCTATACCAATATAAACCAAACAGATCTAATCGCAGATAATATGCTATAAGAGTAATACTGAAATGAAAGTTTGATTTCTCAGACTTGACCAAATAATATGAACTATGTTTTCCTTTAAAAACACAGTTAACATTTTCGCCTAGATGCTTAGCGACAAAAAAAATCAAGACTGGCCTATTGATTTATTGAGATCCCTTTACAATAGTAACAGTGATGATCGTATAGAATGGATTTGAATGGTGGTGTATTCAATCTTTATACGACTCTGAAGACCAACTGTATTTTATTTTGACTCACCAGTTGATATTATATTCACTGAAACACTCTTTATTGTCCGTGTTTTTTTCACCATAGATAAATGTATTCAATACTTCCCCTCACGAGCTATTCAAAGTTATTTGTGAATCTATTTCTGTTGGTTTGTATTTGACAATTATATCTACCTTTTTTATTTTTTAATACGATTTTTGTGGAATTATCTTTCTTTTCATGAAACCATGTAAGGATTTTTCAAAACCCTATCTTTTTTCTGTTTATTAGTGCGCCTGTGGTATTAATTGGACTGTTATTGTTATATTTGTCATTGTATCAATAAACATATCCAGTAAGCGTACGTTTTGATATCGGTGAGTGATTTTTGTTTTAAGTACTGATGTTCGTTAGTGATAGTGCTATTGTGCTTATGAGAGTCAGAATTTCACGAAATGTATCACATGACAATTAGTTCAACTTACTCAACTATGAACCTAGTGTATGCTTTTATTCTGAGATGTCTTTTTTTTCTGGGAAATATTTAATCACGATTTAAATTATCATAAAGGGATATCAATTAAATACTGATTAGAAATGCGATATAGAGACTAACCCTTGGAGTGACATTAGCTGATTGTTCAAATGGACTACTGATTAAGAGTAAATCAGGTGTAGATAATTCCTTAGAAATTAATTTTGTCGATGGTGGAGTAACAAGCGAACTATCACTCATGGATATTGAACGCACAGGAGTGGTAGAAGTAGATGGTTGCGAAATAATCCTTGATGTAGTAGTTCCACAGGTTAAATGCTCTTGAGAAGTATTTCCTTTTGTCTTATTAACATCTGGGTGAAGTTGTTCAATTAAATTCGACAATTCACTTTCCAGTTGTTTGACACGTTCCTTATATTCAGCAGCATTAGTTTCGGCACGTGTGATTTTTTGAGAAGCAGAAGTCTGTAGTTTACGTACTCGAGACAATTCTGTACGATAACTCCTCACTTTTTCACGGGTAGCAGTTAATTCTGATCGCAAAACAGAAGCCCATTTACAAAGAGATAATAGTTCACTATCTTTTTGATGCTTAATTTGTGTTTCGTTTACATTTTCGAATTTTGATGTATATCGAGAAAATAGCTCACGTGCAGCATCTTCTGAAGCTGTAGTGTTAAAAAACGAATTTCATAAAAATAAGAGTATTTGATTAATTTTCGTCTTTTAAGAATGGTTGAAATTCGAAAACAATGATGAATCTAAGGATAAAAATGAAAATACTTTATATACCGTGAAACCTTTTTAACTAGTTTTTGTCGATAATCGTCTTGTAAAACCAGTTACTTTTTACAGTTTACTGGTACAGCCTGATGTACGTTAGAATTTTATCGAGTAGTTTGAAAGTCACACTTTTGATAACAAATACTAACTAAGATACACTGAAGTGTGTTGTTTCCTCATTAATTCATGAAACAAACGAATACTTGGTACAAACAGAGCACCATAAAACACCCCACAATATTAAAACGAATTAAAACTGGCGAGAAATTCGGTATCATAAGAGAAGCAACAAAGTCAAAGTAGAAATATGATCAAGAAATTCGTTGAGTAAGGAGGTGAGTCTCAGTGTTTAGGTCTGATAGAGTTGGGGAGAACTGTAAGATTGCTACTTGTTTTCACTTAAAATCATGTCTGTCGTCTAAAGCCACTGAGTTGTATAATTATTGAAACTCCAAAATTAAGACGAAGAAGAGTTTGGGCTAGTCCAGTATAGTATTTCACTTCATGATACGAACTGATCGCCCCTTCGCTTCCTACATCCAATCCTAGTGTTGAATACACTATACATACAAGTATGTAGTGTTGGAAAATCAGGGAATTTATACCCTACCATAGTTCTATATCAGATCGATCGCTAAAATCATATCAATTAGTTTTGAATGTAACCAAAAATGGATGTCCCACCTTTGTCAACAACAGAAAAAACACAAGAGAAATAACAAGTCTCAGTTACGCAACTTTTGAACTTAAGGATCTCAATCTCCATACATGATCCGGTAAGACCAACAACTAACGACTTCCTATCCTACTTAGGTTAACATAACCCTAGTAAATGTGCAATAAACCTATTAAACTGTCTTCAGCCGGTAATGGACAGCCATTTTTGGCATCGTTTTCCTAAACGAATACGGAAACGCAATAAAGGTTTCTAATTATCAGTGAACCAAAGCTAGAAGAGATCTAAACAAAAGTTGATGTTTACGTACAACCTCATGAATTAATCCCATGTCGATAATTTACTCCGTCTGCTTTTTTCCAAAAACTCACATTAACTGAGAGAATTGTTAAGTTAGACGAGCTACAATAATATCTGTGGCTACCCTCCCCCCATCAGATAATCTATGGATGAAATACTAAAGAAGAATCAACACTTACAGGATATTAACTTTTTCACGTTTTGCATATCTTCTGTTTCTTTTCGAAGCTGAATAGCCTCAGCTTTCATAGCTTCGGCTTCTCGAAGGAACTGTTTCAAACTTGATATTTCTGTTCTGATTGATATAAAAAATGCATCTTTTATCAAGCGAATAGCTTATTTAACAAATGAATAACTAACAAAAATTTTATAGTAGGTCACTACAGCAACTAAAGGACACCGTCATCTATGCATACCGGATTAGACTAGGGAAAAATAAGCAATAATTTGGACGATAGACGGTTAGTATTTAAACAAACTTCCAGGATGAATTGACAATTATAATTTGAACACCTAGCAAGATGATGTTTATCAGAAACGGTTGTTAGATGAATAAAAATTGCAAATAGGAGGACAGTGTATAGTTGTTTTGTCCTACAATGCAACATAGTAGTGTGCATTCTCCCACAATGAGAGCGTTAAATCATCATTACCTGGTTTTGTAGTGAATATTCCCCGTGCAGTCTATAGGTTGGAACTTATCTTTTGAAAACTATGATTTATGATAGTCTAGCGTTTGTTAGTAATTGCCCACTAGTTCTACAGATAACTTTGAAATAAGTCCCTATCGAAATCTAAATATAGATTCAAACAACAAATTATGGATCGAATCAGTTAGAATATATTTTCATCAAATAAAATTTGTCACTACAAAGCATGAAGTTTTTGGATCGGAGAACGTGGTGTAAATTGACGGTATGAAATATGGTAGAGGAAGCCAGAACAGAAACAGCTGTTCAAAGTCTAGTTGATTCCTAACTGATCTTAATTTGTGATGAAAGTTATTTGTAATCAAACTGATCAACTTCTTAAAATATATTAACGTTATGTCAGATTAAACAGGATAAAATTCTGAGAAGTACCTTAAATCTCGACAACGTTGTCTTTCTTTTTCGTATAATTTATCTGTTTCACTGTACAAAGTGGACAGTGCTGATATCTCTTTATCGCGTGCGCTTAATAGTTTGGAATTTTCTTCCGATTTTTGAGACAAGTTTTTACATAATAAGTCCAATCTCATATTTTCTGAACGTAATCGATGTAGTTGAACGCTTAAGGATTTCATCGATTTGGAATCCAACTGCTGAAAAATAACATGATAAACAAAATTATTTGCGTAGAAATACTTAGGTAAATATGAGCAGTCAAACACTAATCTATGCAGAGGCAAGCATTCATGCGATTTACCTTATATTAGAGTAAGAAACATGAAACTATAGACTTAGTTCGTATACTTGTTAACAGTCGCCAAGGTCCTAAAGCATTCAGGGAATCGATGTTTCAAAAGAGAACCAAACTCACTTCCGTTTAACAGTAAGTGATCACTTGCAAAACTAGATAACAAATAGGAACTGGGTATCAAATGACATTGTGATGATTTAGTTTTATATGTTAATGGAAGTTAAATTAACTAGGAGATTTTAGTTTAAATCAATAACATTTCAGTGCCATCTTAACTGACTTAGTCGTTAACTTTACAGAGATCACATAAGTTAACAGCAAAACCCATAGTACAAGGGCTTGTCGCCTAAGCACTGATAGACGGGCAAGATTCAAATTTCTCCCATTAAATTTTGGTAGATTTGTTGACCTTAGGTATAATTGTCAGTGCACAAAAACCTAGACAATGAAGTTATAGATGTCAATTGACTGAGACACATGTTGTACGTATTGAGCCGTCAATTAAACTTGGATGGATAGCATTTATAGACTATGCAATACGTTTGGCCCAAAGCCTATTACATAAACTCGTATATGGTTAATAAATTGTGCGTCTGAGTTCCTATGCAAAGCGAATTAAGTCTCTAAGTGATGAGAAAGAGATGAAACACAAACTTGTGAACTGAGTACTGATTTTAAACACAGTAAAATATATTCCAGGTCAATTATGAGTTGTACTTTTCACTTATTATATTTATTTATGTAATCTATTCCATTGTTATTATTGACTCATAAACTACCTTGATTGGTTTAATAATTTCGTATATGCATATAAATATTACTGTATATTATAGTAAAGCCTGATGAGGATCTAATCGAAAACAATATTGTTCGCCTATATATGTTGTTCTAAATTACAATATGGGAATTTTTCAAATTACATGCTAGTAAAAACTATTAGATTTAATAAATGGTTGGCTTAGAAATCAAACCACATGGCGGAGATGCATTCGTTTTATGAAATAATGCAATCACTGCCCTTGTTATTTTTTTGTGAAGATCCAGAGTTTAAATAATTCTTTTTTGAGCGTTAGACTGACAATAAAAGCTAAAAGTGAATGAATACAATCGTGGGATATCTCAAAAAGACCAAATTATCTTCCCTTATTCTATCTACCGCGAATCAATATGGATTACCAAAATCCTATATGTCTCATCGCCGTATTTTATTACTCACTATGAAATCTACTGAATATGCCATTGCTTTTTTGGAGAGTAAATAACACAAACTATTGAAAACTCGAGATGAAGTTCTACAGAGCTACTGATCCAAATTATACTATACTGCAGATTGTTTATATGATAGTATATAGTACAGCTAAGTAGACGTATAAATTTTACGGTTAAATAAACTTACTGAACTTTCTGATGCTGAAGTTTCTTGTTCAAATGTCGAAGAATTGACAGGTTGTTCTTCTGAACTGTAACTAATCATATCAAAGTATAATTTAGAAATGACAAATGTTTTTTTGATGCCTATCCTGCATTGTGGACATGTTGAAGATGTTTTGAACCAGGTATCAATGCATATTTGATGGAACACATGACCACATGGTAATGCTGATATATTACATTCAAGTGCATTTGTAAAGCATTCCTGACAAACTGGACACTGAGCAAGTAGCATTACTCTAAAATTTTAAAGTTAAATGGATTAAATACTAGATGAAATGATATAAAATGGGACGTTGTCGCTAAAATAAGAATTACTGTGACGATAGGCTTGAAAGTGATCAAGTCATACAAAAACGTTTAGAAAAGTAAGGCCAATAAAACATCTAGAAAGTTAATTAATTATGGATAGAGATTTTAAGTAAAGTATACTCGTAGATTGTTTTTGGTGTAATGTAGGATACCTTAGAAATACAAGGCCGCTTACATTTCTGTAATAAGCAGATTTTAATATACACAGAAACCAAAGATGTTTATGTTTGAGAGAGAAATTTATTTACCGGAACTGCTGGATTGAATACAGATCATAAACGAACTAATAACTAAACATTTTCGAATAATACATTTCTTCATCTTTCGTAACTGATTAAAAACGAAGGTTAGTGGTAAGCATACCTTAAGAGAATGAAATATTCGATATTGACTTCAAAATTGACAAAACAAAGAAGCTGTAAATGGGTCTATATACGCGGTTACAAATTATGGGGGTCGAAGAGAATGATTACACGGTTGTAAGTACTCTACAATCTGTTAGGTGAGGTGAGTATTCAATGGCTAGTCACATCATTCAACAAAGACTACTAACCAAACTGAAGTGGCTTAAACACTGAAAGACTATTCTGCTTGGGTCTAATTTAATTGCTTCGCTTTCGCTTCGGAACCTGGTTATAAAATACATTGACTCAAGATTACTTACTTACGCCTGTTAACGCTTGTGAAGGAGTACAGGCCGCTCACCAGCATTCTCCATCCAACTCTGTACTGGGCAATCCTTTGCAGTTGCTGTAGATCCTTTTCATGCCTTGACGTTCGCATTGAAGATCGTGACTTTGATGTTGACATGCAGACAGTTGTTTTGACTTCCATGTGTTGTTTAACTGTAGGAATGCTGCTCTTGCTTTGCCAATCCTCACCGTTACATCCGCATTTGATCCTCCTCGTTTATCGATGATGCTACTCAGGTAAGTGAAAGATTCCACAGCTTCTCCATCAAGTGTGATTGGGTTGTTGTTCTCCGTGTTGTACTTGAGAATCTTGCTTTTCTTCCTTGTGTATGTTGGGGCCTGTTGGTGTAGAAGCTTCTACTACACTAGTTTACTTCATTTGTATCTGTTCGAGTGTATGGAATAGAAGAGCTAGATTATCCCTCATGTCCAGGTCATCTAACCGTATGTAAGCTGTCCATCGTATTCCATGCATCCCCTCAAATGTCGAGGTCTTCACAGTCCAGTCAATCATTGGAGAAAAGAGAAAGGAGAAGAGTAGGTAGTCTTGTCTGACCCCGGTCCTCACTTGGAATGCATCTGTTAGCTGTTCTCCATGCACTTTTTGCATTGTAGTCCATCGTATGAATTCCGTATGATGCTAACGATTTTCTCAAGTACACCATAGTCTCGAAGATTTCATAAAATTCTCCTATCCACACTGTCGAATGTTTTCACAAAGTCAATGAAGTTGATGTGTAGTGACGAGTTCTATTGAATCGATTGCTTAACAATGATCCTTAGTGTTGCGATTCAGTCCGTGCTGTAACTTAGCGGCTTTTTAGTCTAGTATCAAATTTTGGGCAGTTCACACTTCATTCTATCTACTTTCATCTGTGTAATTAGTAGTATCACTAGTCTCACCAGCCAAAAACGACGACCTGATAACTAGCACACGGATCAGTACTCCTTTGTCAAATATGCTAACTGAAGTAACTGCGTTAAGTAGCATATATTTCAAATTACCATTAACGATAACTGGATGACAAAGAGGCGAGGAAAACTCCTATGTTGACCGGATTTATATATGTATCTACATATTATATGGGATGTTGAAAACCGCTGGTTTAAGTTTTGATGACCAAATAAGCTTGATCAGGTTTCACAAGAGGTTAAAGATTGACAACTGAAGAATTGAGTAAACACTATGAAATCCATAGTGAGGGCTTTTATAAAACACACACAAACCACTAAGAGAAGTGTTTTAACACAACACTGTCAGAAAGACGATTTCAAAACACAGTTCAATCAACTTAGTCGATAGCAGACCTGAATTATGAGTACATATTTTTTTGCTTCATAAACAGACAGCAGACATGCAATAAATGAGTTATAGGAACTTGAAAATACTCACCAAAGTAGCCTGTATGTATTAGTTTTCTAAAATTACCTAGACCATGAACAAAATATGACTTAGTACTCTTAATTCACAAACTGCAATCACTTTTCATATATTTTAGTGTTACTAGTTTTTTAGCGAAATTTATGCTTCAGTGGCATACTGTTTGATTTCTTCTGATGTGCTTATTTGAAGCACGGCAAAGTGAAATAATATAACACCCGATCATAAACTGATCCGATTTTCCTTTTATTTAAAAGAGTGAGATAATTACGTTGGATGGATGAAAGATTAGTGAGCAGGATAACTTTATGAGAAAACATAAAAATTCCAATAGTACGACGAAGGACTTTGTGATTGACACGGAATGACGGGGATCCATTGGTTTAAAAATAGTGGAGTTCTTAACCTTTTTGCCGAAAAGCCAGGAATGTTTCTTGTATGAGAAGTTGGAACCAACAACCTGACATAGGAAATCATTTAATGATATAAGAAGCATAATTTTTGTAAGAACTCGTCTTAAATTCAAAGTGTTAGGGACGCGTTGAAACACCATATCTTTACTCATTTAAATACAGGAGATTCAAAGGAAGCCTTACAATGACTTACAACACTCTGAACACCTCAAAACGTCTTCTCGAACACTAATAAGTGTTCAGTTCTGGGACAAACAACAGAGGGAGTTCTTTAAGAGTAAATGTGATATATCATTGAGGACTTAAAATACTACTTTATTTGTACTGGTAATAGTATTTTTATTTGCTTCTTTTATATATCTAGGCCCCAACCTGGATGCATCAGTGATCCATTGCTTAACAATATGTAGCCCTACATCGTTTACTTCTTTCAATTTAGGGATGCTGACAAAGATATCCCGTTAAATTCAACCGGTTTAGTATTCCCACCAAAGATACCTAACACGTCACTAAACTTTGGGCAACGATGGGTCCTAATATATGCCATAATTGTTGACTAGAGCTCTTTGAAATTGAAAGTCAACATTTCTGAGTTAAAAGAAATAAGCGACGTGGGGCTGCATAGTGTTGAGTCCAACAAATACATAGTTATTAAACTGGTCGCTGTAATAGGTGACGCACCAGCTCGTTCGGATGTTTCATACACAGTTATTCACATTGGGAAAGAAGGTTGCGATAGGTGTGTTGTAGAGGATCGGCGCTTTAAAGAAAGGATGATATTTCCAAATAGTGAATATACATTGTGAACTGGCGATAATTTGCGTCAGCAGATTCAATCTATTCACCATCAAGGCCATTCCAAGTTCGTAACACTTTCCATTAATATGATTTCAATATCCCCTTTAGATCCTATGTACACGATACACTTAAGTGTGACGAAGAAACTAATCAATCTATGGATAGATTTATCTCACAGAAGACTTAGAAACATGAACAAATTTGTAATTAAGGATAAAAGTAAAGTCATACCACATTGTGCCGCAAGTACTCCTTCAAACTTTCAGCGTGTCGGACATCAGACTTTGTCTCAGTATAGAAAGTGATAGTGTCGATTGTTCCTTCTGCATTTAGGCCCCGTAATCCTTAAACATTGTTTACCAAAACCGCTGTACACGAATTCCAAGCCTCTAGCATTAGCGGCGTATTTGTTAGAGCATCCCAGATTACATAGCGGCGCAAAAGATTCGGCCAGAAATGATTTACGTAATTTTCTTAAGGAATATGAATGGTGCTATGGACTTGAAAACTTAGTTTACAATGTGCATTTGTTGAAGTACCTTCCTGATGACGTTCGTGCACATAAAGCTTTAGATTCTTTTTTCGCCTTTCCTTTCGAGTCTTATATGAGGCAGATTAAGAAATAAGTACATAACAGTTACGCTGTAGCAAAACAAGAAGCTCAGAGCTATGCAGAGAAGATATCTTTCTGTGGTAGGTTGCGAGCTAGCATATCGGCCACTACTTTACAAGCATTCGTTAAGTTTGACCCTGGGAAACAATTAATTATGCTTAAGCCTGGGCTAGTCACTGAAAGCGGATTAGTGAAACTTAGACCATTCACATGCCCACGTGATTATTTCGCCGAACCATTCCCTTCTAAGAATACTTATGTTTTCGGTAGTTAGTCATGAATACAAATCAGTTTCCATTAAGGATGTTTACTGTGCACATATTACCGTTAACTGTGTTAATAATGTAATAACTGTTCCATTGCTAAATACGTTCATATGAGTGTTTTCTAAAATATTGCTGATGGTATTACTTTACAGTGTTTTCTTACCTTTTATATACTGTTTAGCCTACTAATAATCAGTCCCTACTTATCGACGCACCAGTCAGTCAATCAGCTACAACTTAAGACCAGGCACATTTATGCATCGGTCCAGGTTGCCATACCTCATTAACACAACAAGATGGACACCGGATTCATAAAAGTAGTTAATTCAGAGGTGGTAATATATAAAAGAAAGATTTCAATAAGGATATAGTACAGGAAGAAAGAATTAGTTCGTAGAAAGAATAATATCAAGTGATTTTAATCTCTTAGTTTAAGGGAAGACAGAAAGTGTATACACCGACGCCATTATGATCGGTTCTCAGCCATGTCACCAAGAATCTCCAACCGTTGGTTACGACAGTCGCGCGGACCCCAACCAAGTAGTCTGCATCTACCAACATGGCTCAGACTAGAAGTTAGTGACTTCAAGCACTGATGACACGTTTTGGTTTGGCCGCCCCTAATTTTCTTCCAACCATCCCCAACACCGGTTAGCATCGCACGTCGTGGTAATCGGTGCTCGGGCATACGTAACACGTGGCCCAACCATCTCAGTCGATGAAGATTCACAACCTCATCGACTGATTTACCATCCTTCCCTAGTACCCTGCGTCTAACCTCACGATTACTTACCCGGTGATCCCAGCAGACGCCAGCAATATTTCTGAGGCATCTGTGGTCAAATACTAGTAGCTTACGAGTGTCTTCTACTCTTAATGGCCATGTTTTGCTGCCGTTAATTAAAACAGAACGGACTGCCGCGCAGTATACTCGTCCTTTAATTGATAGACGGATATCTCGCCTTCGCCATAGGTGACGTGAGTTGGCAAAAGCCAAACGAGCTTTTCGAATCCGTGCTGAGATTTCGTCAGACACCAACCCATTAGGGCTGATCAGACTTCCAAGATAAGTGAAGTTGTCAACGCGTTCGACTACTTCACTCCCTATCCTTAGTTCAGGTGTTGACACAGACCAGTCCTGAAGCAACAACTTGCGTTTAGAGGGAGAGAAGCGCATTCCAAACATCCTGGCATTGTCGCTTAATACTACCAAAAGACTCTGCATTTTATCAGTGTCTTCACCAAACAGGACTATGTCATCTGCATATCCTAAGTCGGTAAGTGGACCTCCTGGAAGGAGATCAATACTCGAGGATTCAGTCGACGACAGCGTTACTTCCATCAGTAGGTCTGTGATGAAGTTAAACGAAAATCGAGATAGTGGACAGACCTTACTGACACCACTTGAGGTTGCAAAAGCAGATGACAGTTCGCCATAAGATCTGACTCGACTAGTGTTGTTCGAGTAAAAGCGTTCACAAGGTTTGTGTACTTCTGAGGCACGCCTTTCAATAACAGACACTGCCACAGAATCTCGCGGTCTACCGAGTCAAATGCTGCTTCTAAGTCAAGAAAGGCCACCATTGTCGGACGCCGGTAAGTATGCCCATGTTCTAGCCTTTTGAACTTCAGCTAGAGTTGGGGAACCTACTTCAATGTTCTATTCACACTGTCTGGGAATGGAGGGTAGTTGTAGAGTAGCTGAAGACCAGCTGAACTGTTCTCTGAAATGTTCCGCCCATCGTTCTAAACGTCTGGACTGAGAGCAGATGAGAGTGTCGTCTTTTTCCGAAATAGTCTCACTTACACTTGACTTATTAATTCATTTCTTTTATTAGTCTGTAGAGCTGTCTTGTGTTCCCTATAGCCGCCTCCTTTTCTATGTCTTTTGCTTTCGTTGCCCACCGCTGCTCACGGTCGTTCCTTAGACTTTTGCTTAACCTAGATCTGATTTGTTTACGCTCTTTATCGTGTTCAGAGCCTGATGGGATGAGTTTACGAGAATCCATCAGTGCAATAGACCTTGAGGAAATCCATTGGTTCCTTGTAAGCCTGTGGTTTAAATCACTGATAGATGTCACTGTTGTTTCCAAACAACATCGGGGTCAGCCTCGTCTTCACAACTACCTAAGTGTGACCTCAGTTGTTCCTGGAACCTACTTTTGGTTTTCTCGTTACTCAACTCAGTTCTAACGGGTCTTTTTAATGTGGCTTTTTTGCGTCCAGTGAGGCGCAAGCAGATGCGTGCCCGTATTAGGGCGTGGTCGGAGTCCAAGCAGGTACTCCAGAATGAGCGACAATCTCCTACCGACCCTCTCCAACGATTACTGATGGCAATATGGTCCATTTGAGTCCATCGTTGGTTTGATGTAGGGGGTCGCCATGTTAGACGATGTCTCTCCTTATGCTTAAAGTTTGTGTTTGCTAAAAATAAACGATTGTCTGAGTACAGTTGCAGCAGACGATCACCATTATCTGTTCGTTGTGCCGGAATATTAAAATACCCACCTAAATGTCTTTCTGTTTGGTTTAAACTATCTATCTGATCATTAAAGTCACCCCCTACGAGTACTATGTCTGAACGTTTAGCTTTCTGAAGAAGTTCAGATAGCTTTCTGTAAAATTCATTTTTCGCTTCATCCGAGCTGCAGTCGGTGGGAGCGTAGGCAGAAACGACAAAAAGGCAACGACGTGTGTCCCTATCCTTCCGAGTTCTTACGGAGCCGTTTAACTGAACAGCATATAAACGATTGTTAACGGAGATCCACTCTAACAGTGCTTGTTCCGCCCTCATGCTTAGTGCTATGCCTACTCCTGCCAGTCCACGAGAGCTGGCCATCGCGTCACCAGATACACGGAGGGTGTATCTCTTTGGCTCTCCGTGTTGCCGAGGTGAGGTCAAGTGAATGACCACACTGGGATCCTGTATGCGTGTTTCAGAGACACAGCATACATCAATGGTACGAGATTCTAGTGTTTTAGTCAAGGACAGGGTGCGTATGTTGAAGACTCCATTGTGTAGTTTGTAGCGAGGTTTCAGTAGACCTGGGACAGTGTTTTGAGTACTAGACTCGTTGGAAATGGTGACACTTGAGGAGGAAGCCGAAAAAGGAAGTTTAGAGGTGAAAGTCGATGTAGGAGGAGTGATAGGAAGTGAAGACGGAGGTTGATTAGGAATACAGTGGTCTTGAGTGCTGCTAGAGGCATAAGGGTGGTTATCACTTCCCGGTTGTCCACACCGTGGAAGGGTTCTTCTGGAGGTACCTGGAAAGGAAATCGGATTAGAGGTGGTCCTAGTGACCTGGGAGCGTGACCGCAGTGCCCAAGGGACAACTGCTTGAGGTCGGTCACACACGACTTTTTGTCGGTAATTTTTGTGTTAGCTCCGTACTTGTTGAGACCTTAGCGCCGAAGACGGTTATCCGTGGGATAAGGCGAGGTGTGGATTTTCAGGGTCGGTCTATTCTAACTCCATCCCTCTTTGTGGGAAGGCAGCATCGCTGTCATGCTGGTTGTCTGAAGGAAACACCTTACTGCTGTCACACCTCTGTACAGTCAGCAGTACTACTTCGCCTTCGGACCTTGGGTTTGTTGCTTTTAGTCTTACCGCTCTTCAACCGACCTGTCTGACATGGTAGGACCTTGAGGAACGGTTGTTCCAGCCAGTATAGCTCGGTTGATTCATCACGATAGGCAAGCCCGACTACGACGTGAAGGTAGCAACAACGGTCGGGTATCGACGCACCAAGCAGGAAACAGGTAGGTAAAGAACTTCCTCTGTATCCTATGGACGTTGTGGATATGCACCTGGAGAATAGTACCCAACCAGATGACGATTGTTCAATCCTGAAGTTCAACGTCATTTACTACGAGGGTGGGTTACAAATATAGAAATGACCATTTCGTATAGATAGTTTCCAGACTACAAAGAATTTGTTGGTTTCGTTTAACAACTTGATTGGTTACCGCGTCAGTAGTTTTACAGACAAAAGCACATTGCCACTAAACGAAGAGAATTTATTATTTATTCCTATTCCAGATAGCCACGTTGACGCAATTAATGGATGATAATCAGAAAAAGCCTATGCGCTTTGTTTTGTCATACGTCATGACACTTGAAGTTGCCAACCATCTGACACTGCTTGGCACTTCATTAAAAATAGCACTTCAGAAGTGCAGGTTTTACGACTGCAAACAAAGTAAGAATTTTTTCAAATCATTGGGCGTACTGACATTTCAGTTTATGTCTTTATCCGTCAACGATAAATAACTTGCTAAACTACTTGATATCTCAACGCAAGGGTATTTTCACGACATGAGAGACAAGATACAAAGGCGTCACCGAAGAAAGCAAGAACATGTATGTACTTGTTTGACGTTATAACTATTCATTACTATGCTATAGGTGGAGTGTTCAGTATTAGCATACATAACTGTAAGTTATACTACAGGTCGACAGTCGTTTAACAAATTAAAGCAGTTTGACATCGTTGTAAATTTCCACGTTTATCAAGTTTCAAAATTTATGGGAAGATTATTTTGGGTCGTAACATTGAAGTTAAGGAAAGACTTCATCACTGAAATGTTCTTTAAGTTTAACTTCACTATTAATGAAGCTTTGTTTACAAACATCTGACTTGCATGCAGAACTGCTGGACTAATGAAGTGCACGTTGTGTAAGCCTTTCTAACTTAATATGCGCTTATAAATAACAAGACATACTTTATAAGTTACCCATTGCCTATAATTTCTTTCGCAATTCTTAGTAAATGATATTAGGGATTAGCACTTACGATGAAAATACAAAGCGATCGTTGTCCGAGGATCTGTTTGTTACTAATGTTCTTGGACAGTAGTACCTTTGCTTGTCAGCAAATATCTTTAAAAAGTACCTTTTTTAACGTAATCGACTGCAGTCGTCGTGTGGTTTGTTATGGAAGTAGAGGCGAACATAAGAGGCTTTTAGGGTTAGGCAAAAGGAGAAAAATAAAGGGTATAATCAAGCGTGCACTAAAAAGGTAGGCGAGTATTTTGTTGAAAAGTAGACAATTCTGCGCGTATTCAGGTGGAAGGTAGGCAATTCAGACACGTTTGAAGCACAATGACAAAAATGGAAAATTCCACATTTCTCTCCCATGACAGGCGGAAAGTCGAAAATTCTGGCGCGTTTCCCATATATTACTTCCTTGTGTGAGACTATAAATTATAGAGGCCCTTTGAGCGACGCCAAAGTGACCTTGAGAGTGATTTTGCACGTCCGTACAGGCAAGTGAATACAAAGGAGATATACGTACCTAATTGGGTTCATTATAAACCCTTATCGCACCATTTCTAACACAATGAAACCGTATGAAATTAAATCAGTTTATCCCAGCCCGTAAATTTAGCTTTTGACAATAATTATTCAGAAACACTATGAAAAACATTAAACGTGCCAGCAAACTTAAAACTTGAACAACTCCCTAACCTTGAAATGACCTACGCAGTTCAACTTTTGCACAACAGCTGCTAAAACCTAACTCAGTGCATCTAAACAAAAGCCTTTAACTGGTTGTGATCTAGAAAGACATTTCAACAAAAAAATTTCGGTGTCAGCTAGGCACACATTGCTGACATTTACCAGTTTACTCTTAGTTAAAAGTAACCATATCATCACCTAAATTTGCTTGGCGTAAAGTGCTTTAAAGTTTATATGGCCAACAAAGTACAGGGTATTGCCACTAGGAAATACGGCACGTGTGTCCTTGTAACAGTCTGCTATTGGAAGCTCTCGGCTTGCAGGTGAACCATACACGCTTAATTTTTGTGACTGAAAAGAAATAAATGTTGTCGGTACTCCTCATGTACATCTGAAATGTATCTACTCAATGTCATACTACAGCTATGG